TGTATCCTTTGGGCAAGCATGATTACGCACTCGAACGATTATATCTTATCTATCATATACATATATATATATATATAATATATGTCTATGTGTATCTCTACATGTATAAGAAAGAAAACAAGTGGGATGAATAGATAATTCGTTTTTCATTTGTTTTTTTTTTTCATTTTCTATCCCGAATTTATTTATATTAAGCTCGCTAATTAGTCTGCAAGTGAAATGAACAAGAAAATGAAGATGAAAAGAAAAAAAAACACTTCAATGGAGTTGCTTATTTAATCAACCTTTAAGATAAATTACGTTTTATTTCTTTTTCATTTCTATTAAAATCTTATTTAAAATTATTTTACATTTCGATCACACAGCTTCTAGTAATTTTGTTTGTTTGTTTTTTCTTTTCAATTAATTTATTTAGGATATTATTAAAATTATTTGATAAAATTTTGTACGTATTTTTTTTTTTTTTTTTTTTATAAACCTTACTTGTTAAAAAATACTGGATTGAAACTTATGAAAATCTTTTCTACTACTACCAAACCGTGATCGAACCTGAAGAAAAATGAAACTTACTACTAGCACACCAATTTCAAACCAACCGAGATGAATAACGTTTCTGGGTACGCGTTCGACTTCTCGTAACCTATTTTAACTTGCCCTACTGCTAGCAATCGATATTCTTTCATCACTCGACGTTTAATACCAACCAAATAATTTATATAGCAAAAATAATAATAATAATAATAATAATAATAATAATAATGTATATAATAATATACAATTATGAATTTGAAAAAATATATTCAAAGTAATAACAATAATAAATAAAATACACACTTAAGGTGTCTTGAAAAAATTGAAATGGTCCCTATAGTTATCTCAGCTGAATTGTTAATGTCTAAAAAAATTTGTGAGATATTTTCAGAAGAACGGATTATCTGCAAATCTAATTTCAGAAAATATCAAAAACTGCAAACTACGCATATTGTTCGAAAATTAGACCATTGGTAAAATAAATCATCTAATTTTGAAAGAAAAATAACAATAATAATAATAATAATAAAATCTGAGGTATAAAAATATTAATGTAAATATTTGTACAAAATAAAAATACACCTAAGTTGAAAATATTTTCACCTTAAGCTCTGTTATAACGTGGTGGACGAATAATCGCAGCTTGCAGTCGATCGTTCATTGTCATGGTCCCGAGTTAGAGGGATGAGATGATGGTATACACACATATATACATACTTACTACAACCAAACTCGTATTTTGACATTAGTTTCCATCGGTCTCGGTGGTATTCCAGGTCAGTGTATGTTCTCTCTCTCTCTCTCTCTATCTAACCCACATATGTGTGAGTATTTCTGCTTAGTGGGTGGTGGTAGGTAGCGGAAGAGAGGGAGGGTAGATGAGTGGTACTGATGGTGGTGGAATGGTTGGGGTGGTTGGGGGATGAAGGAAGAGAAACCGCAAGCCTCTCGTATGAGGCGGCAGACAGAATTGTTCGCATACCATTCCAGACGAAATGGCGCGTTTGTCCCTGGGGGCCATCTCCGCGTCGCCAACACAACGCCCGTTCTCAGCTTCCTCTTCTCATTCTCGATCATTCCATCCATGTGCCAAACCCCCAACAGCTATACCGATCTTTCGCATAAATTTCATTATCTCTCGATTTTCTATTCTTAACGTTTCCTTTCTCTCTTTTTCCTTCTTTATTTACTTTTTATCTTTCTTTTGTGTATTTATTATTAATCATTGTATATGTTAAAACAGGTGGATAAATAAAATCAGTATAATGATGCTTGTAATTAATTACTAATATATTTTATATAACGTTGACAACACCTACGCTCACATCGGAGTCTTGTAGAAGAGATAAACGCGAGATCATCTCATAGCTTAGGCAATTCTCGCGGTCACGTGATACTCCCACACACATACACACCATAAGAGGTGATTCTTACATGTTTGTGCCTCGCTCTCACACACTCATCTACACACTCATCAATATTTACGTATTGAACTTACTTTGAACTTGGCGAAATTCAAAATAAATTTATCATACATTTTAACGAAGATTCTAATATTTACAATATATTACAGCAGTATGTATATATATATATATATATTTTTTTTTTTCAAATTTATTTTATTTTATTTTGATTTCAATTTTTGTATATTCCTCGTTTTGTTAAATAATACTTCGTATGGTTTAAAAATAATAAGACAAAATTAGAAGAATCAAGTGGATAATTATCGTACTTTCCTATTATTTCATTTCCATTTCTATGGATTTTCTTCTTCTTCATCCTTTAGTAATATTTATGCATATTTCGAGGACAAATTTAAATGTTTTTTAGAGATAATATAATAATTATAAATTGTTGATTTTCATTTACTTATTTCTGTTTTATCACTTCTCGTCATATTTGATTTTATTATATCCATTTCCTAGTAAAATTATCTTTTGATTTATAGACGATACATAATATATAATAATAATTATTATTATTATTAATATTATTATTGTTACTGTCTAACATTGTTACTTTTTTAATCCGATCTCTAACAATTTAGTTTTACCTGTTTTTTTTTTTTATTTTTTTTTTATTTTATTTTATTTTATTTTTTTTTTTTTTTTAATTGAGATTTGATTAATGAATAAAACACACGCTCATGGTAATTATTTTTCCTTGTTACTATTATTATTATTCTTAATTTATGGATCACAGGAATTAGATTCAAGAGATAGGAGGATAACGTCATTTCATTTGCTTTGAAGTTTCTATGAAATAACAGATACGAGTTTTGAATCTGACGTAAAGGTAATTAGTCTTGTAATTAGTCTTAATCCTGTAGTCGTTAGAAGATGATTTTCCATTGACACAGTGTCGATAATTAACCACATAGTGGCGAGTCTTATATACGTATTAATGTGCAATAGTAGAAATACTGTAGAATTGAGGACATATTGAATGTCGCTGACTTTCGTTCGTTTGACGATTTTTATAACAGTTCTATGATTACGAAATCACAACTTTAATTGGATCCTTCGTTCCTATGCACGCACATACACACATATATACATATAAGTTTCTATCTGTTTTATTATTCTTTATTTATTCTTATTTAACGATTACCGTTATTCTAAATCGTTAATTACCTTGAACGTTGTTCTATTGATATTATATACTTCGTTTAAATGCATTTTACCTTGTTGCAATAAATTCTTGAAAAAAAAAAAAGGATAAATGCATCTTCGATTTTATCAACATGTTAACTTAATGTTAAATTAATTTGTAATTAAAAATATTGATTATAAATACATCGTGAGATTTTTATGGAAATTATTCGAACCATTCTAATTAAAATGTAATATTTTAATAGATATTGTTTTTTTTTTTTGTATTATTATTTTTCTTTTAATTAAATGTAAAAAGATATTATAAAAAGAATTGTATTTAATATTTTATCGTGATATTTTAAAAATGTCTCTTTCGTTACTTGCCTATTCATTCATGAGTCGTTTCTGTAAAGAATCTCGTATAAAGGAGAAAGATTAAATCATTTGACGATGGCCAAACAAAACTGTAATATAAAAAAGGATTGCAAGTAACATTTTGAAAAGATACTTTTATTTTTAATTAAATTCATTTCTAAAAAATAAATAACATTATTTCTCAACAAATATAATATATTCCAAATATTATATTTCAGGTAGGTTGAATAATGTATACACTTATTACGAAAAGTTATTAAAAAAAAAAAAAAAATATGAATTAGTCCAAAAATTTAGGATAACTCTTTAGGTGATATAAAAATAGCTAACACGTTAAGGTAGGTAGGTTGGTGTAGGTAAGTTTTGAAGTAGCCTGGCAACTCTTGTTAAAAGAATAAAAATTCACGTTTTCATTCTCTCGACGCATTTAGAAAAAAAAAAAAAGGAAAAAAAAAACCCCCAACCGGCAGTAGTTTTTTGGGTCAGTTACTGTTACCAGATGCATGCGGAGAGTGAGAGAGAGAGAGAGAGAGAGACAGAGAGAGAGAGAAAGAGAAAGAGAAAGAGGAAGAGAGGAAAACGAGTGCTGACACGCGTGGCCAACATCGTGGAAAGAAGGCCGTGCTAGCTCGTTCGCGAAAAGTTCAGAGCACTCGTCGAAATACACACAAGCTGTTTTGTGACGCGCGACTGAGTTATCACCACACACCACCAACCCAGAGTAGGGTCTGAACAACACATCCACCAAAACCTTCTGTGTGTTCATGCTTGCAATTGAAGCTTTTCGCTCTTTAACTCGGTCATCGGTTTTATTGCACATATTTTGATGTCACTAAACGTAAAACAACGAGTTTCACTATGCTAACTTCAAGTTTTGTTTAAATACAATTAATTCAATAAACAAAGATCTTTTTTTTTGCTCTATACTTCTTCCAGATATTTTTTTTTAAAAGAATATTCGTGATCTAAATATTGTTACTAAACATAAAACAAGTTTGAATATGTTAAACTCAAGTTTTAAACGTAAAACAACGACTTTGACTATGCTAACTTCAATTTTTGCTTAAATAGAATTAATTAAATAAACAACAATTTTTGTTTCCTTATTATTTCTTCCAGATATTTATTTTTTTTTTTTTTTTAAGAATATATTCTTGATCTAAATGTTGAACAAATAATTTAGGTTGACCAAATTAATTTGTTTACCCAACAAATATGATAAATTCATTTGCAAGAGACGAAAATTAACCGGGAGATGCATATTCGAATGCAATTAATTAGAAAATTAGATATTAAAATGTTCTAGAGGTGAGGGAATAAGTTTGAATAAATAATTTTCAATCAACAAGATACATATTTCAACAAATATTACTCAAGAGAAAGTTTTTTTTTCTTCCCAATGGTATAGCAAGTGATTATTTCTGTTTTTATCGTATTTTTTATATTTTTTGTTATTATTATTATTATTATTATTATTATTATTATTTATTTGTTTTACAGGTCTTCTAAGGTTGCAGCAAATTTATCAAACGCTGAAGCCTGGTAACGAGTCTTTTCAAGTGGAAACCGTCAAGAGGATACAAAACATGTCCGAGGCGATCGATTTTCTTCGTAGTCTCGAAGAACTTAATCGGTAAACGTGATTCATCTATATTTCTATTATATATTTTATGTCTTCTTTTTTTTATATATTTTTACAAAATTTCCAAGTTATGATCATCAAAACTATAATTTTCAAATAACACAGAGTTTTTCGTTAGAATAATGTACTTAACAAATATTTCTATCTACTTTAAAACAATTCCATTTTTAGATTACCACGAAACTATTATTTTAGTTTGCGTCAGAATATCATCATGAGATTTAAAATAAACTTACTTATTGTTGTTGCATTTAAATTTTATTTTTCTGCAACACGTCATATAGTTACATCAAGAATTTATTAGAATTTCATTAAATAAATATTTATATCTCTATAAATTTTATTTTTCAAACACACACCATTCATCTAAATTACCATATAACTATTATTTTCAGATACGTCAGAATTTGATTATTTGTTTATGTATTAAAAATTATTATATTCTCATACGTAAAAGAATAATATCAATGATAATAGAGTATAATCAAAATTGCAATAAGATAATCTTAAATATTTATCAATTTTTTTTTTCAATAAAATATCTGTAAAGAAGGAGAGAGAGAAAGAGAGAGAGAGAGAGAAAAACTACTATTAAGATAAAAACAATGATTATCGTTAAGATTAAAACGTCACAGTATCATAATGACAAATGTTTCATACTATTTGTATTGTATTATTTAAATGACAATTTCTAACAATGAAAGTGTAAGAGCATCGATTGCAAAAACTATTATTATTATTTGTTGGATTGGTGTAAATTCAGTGAAGTAGTCGTCTCTGTAGCAAGCCCGTACAAAACCCGTTACCGTTCTAGAACGTAACGCGTCCGTTACGTTTTGTCGAACGACTATCACGCCCGTACGTCCCGCAATTTACTACCGACTACGCATTTGCGGTCTGCGTGCTCCATTTACGCGATGCAGGTAATCAACGATTGACCGTAACCGGGAATTCAAATCGAGCATACGTGACACTTAACGAAAATAAGCATAATGCAAGGTGTGTGTGTGAGTGTGTATGCGTTTAGAAATAATCGATATCGATCAATAAGTATCACGTATTGATATCCGTTCCTATATCAATCGTTTAACCATGTTTCTATTTCCATTTCTATCTCTATCTCTATCTCATTTTCTATTCGATCAATTTAGTGAAACCTCATAGTGTGTGTGATAGTTCTAATCCAAATAAAAACCAATTTTATATCTGTCAGTATTTGAACGTTTAAATACCGCGTTGTTATATACAATTATCAATGATGATGATGATGATGATGATGATGATGATGATGATAATGATGATAGTAGTATACCTAGATACTTCATTATACAAAGTTCGTTTGAAACAATTTCAACAATTTGATTCAATAGTTATTCATTTGGTGTAATTGATCGTTAATAATCATCACCATAACCAAGAGTTAGATTCAATGTTATAATAATAATAATAATAATAATAATAATAATAATAATAATAATAATAATGATGATGAAACGAGTGAACGTAACGAAATATAAATTGATATAATTATCGTATTATATTATATCGAAAGAATTGGACAAACAAAAAAATATAAAAAGAAACAAAGTAATAATGTAAAAAATAGATAATATAGGTTTTAGTTTACGATCTATTTATTTCAGATGGAGCAACAAATACGTAGTATTGGATTGTCCGACGGACATGGCCAAGGATATCGTGGTGAGTCACGTTCGAGACGTCACGCTTGGAAGAAGAACGTATCATTATTTATTAAGTGGACTGGTAAGTTTAGAATTACACGAAGATATTCACGAATTATTACAATAATAGTTAATTATTATAGATATCTTTTGATCTTAAACTTTATTATTAGAAAAACCATTTTTTTTTCTTTGTTTCTTTTTTTATTCTTTTTGATTTTTTTCCTCTTTTTTTCTTTTTTTCTTTTCTCTTTTTCTTTTTCTTTTCACTCATCGATCGAATAATTTTTCTTATTTCTCCGTATTATATTATTTGAATGGTTGTTAAAAGTGATCGTTCAATCGTAAAATCGATAAATCACGTTACACTTACAAAAAAAAAACACCAACGCTTTATGATTATTCATCGAGGAAATAATTGCAAACAGAATACCTGTAGTGTTGTCTATCCTTGAAATTCTACACGTTTTTAAAATCACATTTTAATTACAAACGCGTAATAATAATATCGACCTGTTTCGCTAGTTGCTTTAACACCTGTATTATTATTTTCCAATTACATTGGTAACAAATAGAAACGCCATTCTCTTTATTATATTTGTATTTGAATGAAATCAAATAATAAAAAAAAAGGAACCCATTTATGAAAAATGATATACTTAAAACAAGTTCCATGACTAATTTCATCAAATCAAATGTCATTTCCATATCACCTGTAACCTAAAACACGTAACAAGAGTTTAATAATAATAATAAATTCTTAAGTGTAGGACAAAAATTAAAATTACATTTGTTATTTTATTTTATCTCTTTTTAAATATAAATATGGTTAATAATATTTATGACAGGATTATGAATGAATATTATATATATAATTTTTTTGTTAAAGAAAAAAAATTATTATTTTTTATTGTCTAAAATATATCAATAAATATATTTTATTTTATTTTATAATATAATTATAATTTTATTTTTTTAATTTTTATTCTATTATCGAATAATTTATTATTTTAATTCCTATGACAAGATAATGAATGAATATTGTATCATTTTATTTTAAAATAGAATAATTATTATTTTATTTTATAATAGAATGATTTTTCATTTTGAACATAAATTAGTAAAAATAAGTAAATAATGATAATCTTTGTTAAGCAACGTTAATAGAAACCATTTTCTATTCATGGAATTCAGTAATCACTCAAATTCATCCGATATCCTTGAAGTTTCTCAATGCGAAGCTCCTCACGTACCTAGGTAGAATCCATAGTTTCGCGTGTACGATTTAGGGAGGCAGTTTAGGTTCTGTTTAGCGGTTTGAAGCAAGTTACAAGGAGCAAGAGCCATTACGTTCTGTACAACGCTCGAGATACTGGCAATACACTTGTCCGTACATATATATCTAGTTTTGCCTCCTTCTCTTCTCTTCTATTCCTAGAGACTACCATCGTCATTCACCACCCTTAACCCTCGTTCTACAGACGTTTACTAACCCTACTACTAGCATCGTTAAACACCCTAACATACACATATCGATCTTCTCGATAATTTCACCAAAATATCCATTATAATACTAAAACATTTTTTTTTTCTTTTTTTTTTCACAAATTTTACTCATTTATTTTCAATTATTTATTGCAATTGCAATCATTTCAAATTTAAATAACATTAATATATCAAAAGAAGAAAAGAAATATAATTAAAATATTCGATAACATTCTCCGTTCTCATTTAAAAAACAAATTAAAGTAAGCTCAAAGTTGATGAATTTATTTTGAATTATTCGTGTTGCAAATGCAATCATTCAAAAATTAAATAATATTAATATATCACACAAAAAATAAATGCAATTAAAATATTTCTCATTTAAAAAAAAAAAAAAAAAAAAAAAGTTAAATTAAGTTTAAAGTTGATGAAATGACAAAAACAAAATTCCATAAATGATATTGAAAAAAGGCTTCGATTTACAGGTGTAAAAAAAAAAAGTTGATCGAATCAAAATTTTAAACTCACTTTTTCTTCCAGTAAAGAACTATTTTCTAAAAAATCTTCCTTTTTATTTTATTTTATTTTATTTTTTTTTTATTTTATACAAACGAGTATAGGAAGTAGTAGTACTGGACAATATTTTTTGTTTCCACCACCAGCACCATTACCAACCCCAGTTTGTTTCTTTATATTTCTTTGTATCTTTATTTCGAGTTGTTTAGTTCTTCTATTTCCTCCTTTCTCTCTCTCTCTCTCTCTCTCTCTCTCTCTCTCTCTCTCTCTCTGTTCCTCTCGTGTAATCAGATAATGGACGATCGATGGGAGAGCGAAGTGATCGAGTACGGTGCCATCAACATCACCGGCTTTCGCATTGTGGACGCCACTCGACCTCACGTCAAGGATTTCCTTCTGGGTTGGCATCGCCTAGATCCTGCCACCTATCAGGGGGCTGGTCGTGAATCCATTTCCGTACGTATAAGCACTGCCATTTTTGTCTCCCTTTTTTGCTTTTTTATTTTAGGTTTTATTTTTATTTATTTTTTTTTTTTTTTTCTATTCCTTTAATCCCCATTTACCCTTTTCTCTTTTTTCTTTCTTTTTTTACATTCATTTTGTTTCCTTTTTCCATTTTCCTCCCCCCTATCTCTTTYCATTCATCTATTTCTATCTCTATCTATCTATCTATTTATATCAATCTCACTCGATTTCAATAAAAGGGTTCGCTTTCATGTATTCTTTTTTTTTCTTTTTTTTTATTTAAATCCCTTTTCGATGTAATATTAACGCGATACTCGTTTTCAAAATGAATTTTTTATCTCTCTTTTTTTTTTCTTTCTCCTATACATTCTCTCTCTCTCTCTCTCTCTCTCTCTCTCTCTCTCTGTCGCATAATTTTTTGCTTTCGACAGCTTTCCATAGGAGTGCTCATCTCTGCTCTATGATTTATATATATGTAAATTCAACATTGTATGATTACGTTTATTAAAAAGTTACAAAATAATTTCTATGTAAAAAAGGGATATTTATGTTTTAGAATATTCTTTTTGTACGTTCAATTCGTTCGTATTCGTTGCATTTCGAGTAGGAGATTGAGAGAGAGAGAAAGAGAGGGTTGAATAAATTAGTTTTTAAACAACACACACTACTATAATATTATTGCAATTTCAGAGAAAACAATGAGAAACTCGTAACGATATTTCATTCATTTCTAAAATAAAATCAATATCCTTTTTTTTTTATTTTCTTTCTTTTTTTTGTTTCTTTACATCAATTTTCAAACTTTTTATCGAACGTTAATAAATGATACGTATTGTATGAAATTTTTTTTTCTTTTTTTTTTTATATATATTTTTAATTTTTATCATTTTCCTCCATCAGCGTGGTTTTGCTCGAGTGTAAATGAATTTTATTTTTCATCTATCTCTTTGTGTATACTTTTGTATTCATTTCCAACGTTTCTCTTTATCTTTCATTTTATTCTTTCTTTTTTTTTAATTTAAAACATCTTTTACATTATTTTTTTTTTCTATCTTGTTGCTTTTTTTCTCTCTCTTTTTTTTTTTTTTTTACAAAGATACAGTCAGTCCCACGAATTGATATCGTTGCTTTTGTATTAGGATAAAAATATCTCATTCATCTTTTTTCTGTATGAAGTAATTTGTTACAAATGAAAAATTTTTGTTCATACGAACCAAAAGAATTCTTTGTATTTTTTTTAATTTTCATATATATATTTTTTTTAAGTCTAAATTTTCGTCATGGAAATAATAAATAAATTTGGAAAAAAATAAAAGCTTTATTCTATAAAAAAAAAAGTTGAAAAAGTATATTATATATATTTATATTTTATTGATATATTGATTATTATATTA